CCAATTTATTTTTAATATTATAAAGTTTAAATAACACACTGTTTTTCTTTTTTTTTATGAAATGTCATTAACTCATACACTCAACAGGCATGTTATCTAAATTATAACGTAAAAGTCAATATCTTTTTTACGGGCGAATAGCTTTCATCATCTGAAATATTCAGAAATATACATATATAAATAATAAGCGTGAAATAAGCATTAAGTGCTCCTAAAAATGTACTCACGTATGCTGAAAGTCTCTTCAGTAGTATCTTCACTGCATTGAATATCTCATGTTAGGAAAAAAAACACAAACATTTCCACATATAAACATAACTACTTACAAGTATTATAATATGATGAGCCTAAATTTTGGACATGATATGATTTATTAGTGTCAACTTTGACCACAGATTGATATCACTTAGGATTTACTGGACAGCTGTTTCGTCCTAGTCTTCAAACTCTTCTTCAGTACTCACCCATCGGGGTTTGAGCCTGAGGACCTTCCAGTTAAAAGTCAAGCTCTTAGACTATTTAGTCATAGATTGGGACCAGACTCAATGTCCCATAATTTTTAACATCTACTAATTCGTGAATTTAGCCCGACCAGTGGCTGCGTACTACCGATGAGTCCCAAGCACTAGAATGAAACAGCTGTTCAGTACTCCTTGGTGGTTTTCACTGCTTCTATAACTCATATCTATCCGTAGCAAAACTTGAAAGTTATGGAAAGACTTATTTTACTTAATCTTGAACCCTCTTCAAGCCTTTCAAAGACCCAAACGAGTTTGCTTATAGACGCAGTAGGTGTACCTTAGATGCCGCTATTTTCTTATATCATAATATAGTCTCTAGTTTAGATAGAGGAGCTAAATACGTTCGGTGTGCCTTCCTTGATTACACATCTGCATTTGACTCAGTTCCTAGGCCTCTCTTGCTAAGTAAGCTTGCTGCAACACAAAGTGAGAGCTGGACAAATAAGTGGTTGCATTCCTATTTTTCTGATAGGAAGCAGTACACCGTCTACAATGGAAAGTCCTCCACTACCTCACTTACTTTAGCTGGTGTTCCTCAAGGTGCTGTTCTTTCTCCTTTTCTGTTTTCTTTTTTCTTACATGACTTGCCCCATTCTGATGTAGCCACTTTTGTCAAGTATGTTGATGACCTCTCTGTCTCCATGCCTGTCAACTCTCAGCCAGGCTGTTCCAAATTAAATAGCTTTCTCTCAGAAATTAGTCAGTGGTCCTCTTCAAACGGTCTTAAGCTAAATCCACCTAAATGTCAGGTAGTAAATTTCACTTTCAGACGAAAAAGTGACCTACAACAACTAGCTAGCTCACATGGCCCCACTATCATTGACGGCATACAGGTTGAAACTACATCTAATGTCAAGTACCTTGGACTGAGTATTTCCTCCGATCTTTCCTGGTCCTCTCACATCTTGCTAGTTACTAGAAAGATGTTTCGCTTAACGTTCTACGTTAGGAAGTTAAGGCAGTCTGGTATAAAGCAGTCTTTGCTTTCTCAGTTTGTCAATTCTTGTATTCTACCCATCCCTCTTCACTGCTCCCCATTAATCTTTCCTGGACTACTTAAGAAAGATTTTGCTTTGCTGCGTAGGGCACTAAAAGCCGTTAGTAGGGCAAGTGGGATATCGTTAAACCAACTGGTTAATACTATTGTGGATAGACATATAATGTCATGTAAGAAACTAGCGAATTCTATATTGTCAGACCCCGAACACCCTCTCTATATGCAGCTCTCTCCTTGCATTTCGTCTAGTAGAACTAGAAGCAACTATAGGAGGCTATATGCCAGGACTACCAAGTACAAAAACTCCACAATACCTTATCTGGCACAGCTGTTATGTGATGAGAAATCCGTTAGGGTTATGACGCAATCAACTTACTGCGGCACTCTAACAAATAGTTCCCATTAGCTTTTGTTCTCCTTTCTTCGTTACTATTATATTGTTGTTCACATCTTCTATTACACACTAACTTTATATTTCATATCCTGTGGTGCATTGTTTAAAAATGTAAACGCAACGCTCTTCTTTTTTACTTATTTATTTATTGCTGTTGCTTTTTGTTTTTAAAATCTTATAAAATTTATGAGGTAATTAGATGCAATATTGTAAGGCATACTGAAAATTCCATATCTGTACCATAAATACTCTTAGGAATAAAGCTATTATTATTATTGAAATAGATCAAATCCCCATAAACTAATTCTTGGTGATTCAGTTTCATCTGTCTACATACACGCAACTAATGACCTAATTTCTGTAGACCTTTTCATTCAGTCGTTGTTCTGTTTTACTCACCACTGCGTCCCTATAGTCTTTTGTCTGTGAGAAAGAAAGCATAATCCATGTAGCAAAGTATTTTATCTATTTTATAAAGTTATGTTAATGCAACACATTCTAGTAATCACTATGAGAACTTAATGCAAATGGTAACTCTATTTATATGCATTGAAACAGCATACACAGTACCTCAGTGTTATACATTTTTGTTATAGTCTTGCTTCTCAAATTATAGCTAAAATAATCTTTTCATTAAGTGATTTTAGCTTACTGTCAAAGGTATTTCATTATTGTGGCTGAAATTTAAAATTTGGGTAGTAATCAGCCTTCGAGAGTAATTTTAAAACTATACTCAGGTACTTGTCAAGTGTCAGTGGGACCACTTTTAGATACTGTGTTATGAAACAAATATGAAGTCTAATTATTTTTACAATTTAGTGTATAAACTCAGCTGTGATTCTAGAACTGACTGGTCAGTGTTGAAATCTTCAAGAGAATATGAACTTGTAGCCTATGGTGAAAAGGTTTCAGGAAATCCCCTTGACACACACATATCATCAATTTAAAATTCTCAGCATCTGTTGGCAATCTGATGTATCCAAGATACGATTTAATATGCACCTTGGATTCCACCCCTAACAACCATGAACTAAATAAAATAAATTCCGAGACCAACAAAAAGAAATAATAACGTAATTAGTATGACGGCAAGAACTTCCGCGACAGAAGTTACTAGGATAAATGGTAGTTCGAATTCATGGGTCATTGAATCGGGTCCGAGTGAATGAATGGTATATTACCTTACCTTGCAACCGAAAGGTTCGTAGTTCGAACCCCGGAGGGTGCGTACTGCCAATGATTCCCATACTAGGATGAAGCAGCTGTCCAGTACTTCCTGGTTTCCAATGCTTCTCTAACTGATATCAATTAGCGGTCAATTTTGAATAACAAAATCTATTTCTTCTTTGTGTCTTCATTGCACGTGTCACCAAGGTCCACTTCGTGAGAACGAATTGTTAAACCTCGTCTCCACTTTTTTTTGATTGAACACTAGTCAGTAACTGGTGTAATGTGTCTAGTCCTATCTTCGGTGCAGACTGAATTCTATCAGTCATGTTTGCAATGTGGCCACCATGCTAGGTGGCTCGCCATTACGATGCACTGTGAATTGTTGGTATTAGATGGTTGGAAGTAATCGGCAGGAAGCCTTGCATTGCACATTGCAAACATGACTGATAGAATTCAGTCTGCACCGAAGATAGGACTAGACACATTACACTAGTTACTGACTAGTGTTCAATCAAAAATATCCAATACAGTCCTACAGGAGGTCAGTCGCGAGCCCGAATAGCTCAGTGGTAACGTCTCTGACAGCAGCACTGGGTGACGTGGGTTCGAATCTCAGAAGGGACATCAGTTCCTTCAAGGTTGCAGATACGCCAAGGCTTCCTGCCGATTACCTCCAACCATCTAATACCAACAATCGTCTCCACTTTATTAGGCGATAGTAAACTTGGTAAATGAGGGAAGATTGAGTGTGAAACAATCAATCCTACTTCGTACAAAATCAATACCAACTCTACTTTAACTTCAAATCTTGTAGCCCTATATATTCCATCTAGAATGGGAGTCACCTGATTTAGGATATGCATTCTGTCCGACAGGGTGCTTCTACTAAACTCTAATCCTAAACACCATAATTTTGAAAATACGTCTAATCATAAAGTTCTAGATACTAACAGTTTGAACAGACATGAAGGTGTGATGTTAGCTGATGCATAGGAAATCCTGATTAATAAATAAAAAATGGATATGTATCACTAATTAATAATACTTGGTTAAAATTCTCGACTGTCCATATCTTCTTATGGAAACGTTAAGAAATGTTTTACAACTGTTTACCCACATACACACACATGCACACTCTGTTTAAAGTGTTTAACAAAGGTAGACCAATATTTATAAGTCCGAAGTCAAATTTTGATCACAGCTCATACAATTTCGTTTATTATACTTGTTGTTCCATTCATATATAAACCTCAGTTATGTTAATTTCGATTAATTTCCCTGAAGAAGTTCGGACCAGATTGCCGAACACAGGAAACGTTGGAATTACTCATTTCAATTTCGCTGAGATTTTACAAATATAATTTTTTTAACAAATGTCTACTTCTCACTCGGCGCCCAAATGTTTTAGAACTATTCTATCAAATCTTGATGACAGTTCATTCGAATTACAAAGTTAGTTGAAACATCCAAATGAGTATAAACTGTGTGATTAGATCGTCCAGAAGGGATTTTGTTCCGCTGCAATGGCCACTACATTAATTGACATGTGAGAATGACATAAATTTGACTCCACATTACTTATTTATTAAACCCTAGTAGATCGATAAGTCCAAGAACATATACTACTTAGGTTTTAGACTTTTTAGCACTCATCAGCAACGCCTATGTAAAACGCTTACAAAAATTCATATATTCATATTTTGAATTCCACATACCGCGAATTCTTAAAAAAACCAGTGATCTCCTTGCAGTCGGTGGTGTTTTTCTCTTAATTATTATCTTAACTATTACTATGATTACAACTATAATTATTACTATTATTTATGGTGATAATTATAACTATTGCATGTGATTCATGTTAACATGTAAAAAAACAGTTTAATTATCTCCTTTCTTTTTCATTGTTACCTTGATATAGGTTGAAGGCCAACCAATGGCTTATGCAGAAGCACTGGATTATTTGAATATTGTATTCACTGGTGTATTTACAGTGGAATTTGTGCTGAAGTTAACTGCTTTTGGATTCAAGGTGAGCAGTATTCACTTGTCGGTTAATTCTTTTTCTTTCGTTTTTTGAATACACACACACACACCGCAATGAAGTATAATTAAGGTTGAATGTCTTAGGCAACGTGATAAATTAAAACAGAGGGGCGATCGGCTATAAATTGGAATTCGATTAATGCTACCAGAGGTATTTTCATCCGTGGAATTTGTTCTTTCGTCAGAATCAAAAACCTTAAGTAGTAATGTCTGATATGAATAATTCAGATTACATATGCCTTCAGGATGTCATGCGAATACCTTGGGACATAATAGTAATAATAGCTTTATTCTAGACAGCGTTAATAAAGAAGTGTATGGAATTCTCAGAAGAATTTATTGCATCATATATTCTCTGCATCTAGCATCTCCAAGTAAAATGACTGACTGAGTGGTTTCAACAGAGAACTTTGCACCGATGTGCAGCGGTTCGAGTCGCCACACTCCATGTAGCACACAAAGCAAGAGATGAAAGTGAAAGAAAATGAAAAATAGAGACAGTAAACAGAGATATGAGGCAAAAACAATAGTAGTATCGAAGATCAATATGATTTTATTGGATAAGTCACAAGGTGTGGATGCATCTGCACCAGCCATTAGGAACGATTTTAAGCCATATCACCAATTGTCTCCAGCCATTGGTGTTTACCGTCCCGAGGATCTCAACCAGGAAGTCAATGTGGCTTAAACTAACTGTTGTGAATTTTATGGACTGATGAGACCATGTTTTGGTTTGACTACCACTGGCTCTTTACCAACCTGATCCTATGCCAGTCAACTAACATTGCCCGTCGTGGAAGGCGATGGCCAGGCAGGAATGCATAACACATGCCCTAACCATCTCAGTCGATGTAACTTCACAGCCTCCTCTATTTATTTCCCCTCCATACCTAGCACTCTACTAATGACTAACTTCAATATTACTCACCCTATTATACCACTTCACGCGGGAGATAGAATATAGACACCTATGATCAAAGACAGCTAGCCAGGCTTTTCATGTCCTCCACTTTCAATGGCCAGGTCTCACTGAGCAGACTGATGAGCAGTACACATGTCCTTTGGTCTATAACCGGATATCACTTCTAAGCCAGAGGTGGCGTTAACTGGCATATGCGAAACAAATCTTCTGTATCAGTGCTGAGATTTCATCAGCGATCAACCCGTTGCCACTGGCCAATGCAACTTCCCAAATAAGTGAAGTGGTCAACACGCTCTACCACTTCACTCCCTTTTTCTAAGCTAGGGGCCGATGTAGTCCAGTCCTGTAGCACTCATAATCTTACACTTGGCGGGGGCGAATCGCATGCCAAATGTGTTCAAAAGACTCTGCATTTATTCAGAGTCTTCAGCTAGAAGGACTATATCATCTGCATATTTAAAGTCAACAAGATTATTCCCTGGTAACAAGTAAAAGAGAAAAAGAGAAGGGACTCGCAGGAACTATGACAACCAGAAACAAAGAGGAAACAGAATAACTTTATGGAAAATAATTAAAAATCTAAAGTATCTGGTTCTATTACATTGAGAACTATTTTCAACCATATCACCAAGTGTCACTTGATTCCTAGTGTCTCCAGGTCCCTAGCCAAGCAGTTCATACCTCTCTATGTTGTGTTACAAACCATTAGTCAAAAATATTTCATGGAATGATGCCATTATTTTCGTTTGACTGACCTGCACTGAAAGCCTATCTTTGGTATACTGAAGTCGAATTTTACTCATCCTGTTTCAACAATTTAGCTAAAGAAAGCTCCAGTGTTTCAAGTAAAGACCTTTGATGTAAATAGGTAGTTTATCACGACAAATTCAATGTTGACTGCCGTTCACCAGTTACTACGGTTCAACCAGTAGTGATACGAGTCTAGTCTTAAGTCTTGGTGCGGACTGAATTTCATCAATACAGGAACAAACAGTGTTCAGTGAAGAATCTCTTTTCGGCCAATTCGTCCGGATAGGTATTTTCCGCGTGTCAAGCCGGTGCTGCAGTCAGAGATGTTGCCACTGAGCTATTCAAGCTCACAACTGACCGCCTTTGGTAATATTGTTTTTCGGGGTTTACTATTGGCTGGTAAACTAGGAGACGTTTAGGAGTGTGTCAGTCAGGAACCGAAACCAGACCTCCAGCTAGTCTAATGAACTGGACTACCAGTCCACTTTGATATTTGGTCACTCCCTTTAACATATACCTATTCTAATAACCAAATAGTCTGTTTCATTATACTGCTAGACTAACCTGTGTATTATTCAGTCAACTTATTGACAGAATTGAAAATTTTATCGACAAATTTCGCTTCAAGTGTTGGCTTCCAGGGGTTTGATTGATTTGAAGATTGATCAGGAACCGACTTCAATTTGTAAAAACCTTTAAGAGCCCTGAAGATCCCAGTTACGATCCTAGTTGGGGTCGAAGAGTGTAAAACAAGAAAGAAATATCTGTCTAGTACCTTCTGGTTTTCAGTGGTTCTCTATCTGATGTCAGTTTGTAATCGAACTCCATAGATTTTTATGGGTTTTGCATTATTGATACATTATATGATGTAAATATATACCCGAAGTCAATCTGAACGAAGAATATTCTTTTCAATGCATCCTTGTCTTCAGGTTCTTACAGTTATAAAATATAATATTTGTTATCGTTACAATAAAGACCAGTTATGTGACGGATAAATTTTTTTAGTGTAGAATAACAGTTTAGTTATGGAGTGTCAAAATAAAAAGTCGTATTTATATGACAAACGTGCTAAGCTGAAATCAATTACAAAATATTGTGAAATTGGAAGACAATGCTGGTGATTGGTCATAATAGATTTGTAGAGTGTGGGGTAGGAAAATTGACAAGTCAGTTCAAGTTTATGAAAGGTGTGAGTGGCTAGTACAAAGTGGTATGTATTGAAGAGGAGGAGATAGTAAGACTGAAATGAGAGATTCATAATGAAATAACAAATGTGTGAAATGAAACAGGTGGAGGCAAATATTGAGAAAAGAGATAATATCACTAATCATAAGTTCGGATAGTATTAATCAAAAATTCAATAGTAGTGATGGAATGTTTGCATGAAGGGCATAAATTATGACGAACAATAATAATAATATTTGTAATAATAAGCAAAGGAAAAAGAAAAAACCAAGAGGGTTAAGAGGAAGGAGCACTTTTGTTTAGAAGAAGAATCATTAATCCAAGTTTGGCCACGGTGAGAACAGCGTCTGGACGTGTTCTTTGGGATAAAAATGTCCGGTTTAGTCGATCTTATTTCAACAGCTTCAGCTATATGTAGGAGACGTAAGCAAACTGTACGTGATAACGACTTCGAAATTCGGTATATAACCCTAAAAGCTGTGTTGACATCGATACGATATCCAGTATTGACCAAGTGTGACAGGATCGAGCTTTTTTATGCACTTAATTTCCCCCTTCCTGCTGAACCAAGCTGGTAAATGTTCTCGAACCCGTAGACGAACCTGCTTAATCGTGCGCCCTATATAACTTGAACCACAGGAACAGGTGAAATGGTATATGCATGAAGAAGAGCTAAGCTTAGGTAAGACATCTTTGAGTCGCTGGGTGAACATTGGACGGCTACTGAAGGATAAACATAGACGTGCAGAGTAGAAAGTTTTCTTGATCGTCCTGGTTAAACATTGCGATAGAATCTCCGCAGGAGTATTTCCCTTGAATTGGAGACGTAAAAACAGAGGCTTTTTCTCCACCATTGGCAGTTCATGTTTACGACTAATATAACCTATGTTGGCTTTAATGAACTTCTCTGAATATCCGTTCTCCCTTAGAATGTCTCGGATGACCTGGAGTTCTTTCTCTAATCGATTTCAGCCTAGCACGTTCATCATACAAATACGACTATTTATTTTGGCACCCCATAACTAATCTGTTATTCTACGTTAAAAATGTATCCACCGCATAACTGGCTATCCTTATTGTAACGACAACAAATATTATATTTTATAATTGTAAGAACCTGAAGAGGAGGATGTATTGAAAAGAATATTCTTCGTTCAGATTGGCTTTCAATTCATAATATGGGAATATTTCACACCATTAAATCATATACCCGAAGGCCGTTGGTTACAGAGTGCACCGTGATCCAGACTTTCAGATTCATCTACACTCATCATTCATTACATTAAGCATTACATATTTATTCTACTTATTTTCCTATTAATTTTAGAATTACTTTAGTGATCCATGGAATGTATTCGATTTTATTATTGTCGTTGGAAGTTTCGTGGACATTAATATGTCACATTTAGCTGTAAGTTTTGTAAAACAAAGGACATACTGATAAGCTAAATGCAAAAACATTGAATCTTTATTTTTAATAGTATTCATTATCATTATTATTATTATTCCCTTCAGCTCCTAGTGCAAAACAAGGTTTCGACAGAACATCTTCACTTCTTCCTATTCTCTGTGGTCCTATTTAGCTGGCCTAACGTCTCTCGATTGTCTATCATCTCCCACTCACACCACCTTGCCCATGTCACCCTCAGACATACACCCAACTTATTATTTCCTATTGGGGTTCTACTCGAGTGATGACCTGGTGCGCAATGCCAGCTGGCGGTCTCCTCACCACGTGTCCCATCCATCTCCATCTTCTTCGGTATATTTCTTGAGTAACAGATTCTTGGTCGGTTCATTCCCTGTGTTTCTTAGTACTGACTGTTTCTTGCCATCTGATCTTAAATATTGAGCCAACGAAGACAGATGCTGATGAAAGTCTGGATGAGCCAATTTCCAGACCGATATACAAGAACTGACTGACTAAACATTGCTGTTAAGAATCCGAATTTCATTCTCTATGTTGATTGCACAAATATGCAGGAGGAAGTGAAGATGGATTGGACATTCGCTGAGGAGGCCACTGGGTGACATCGCGCGTCAGGCCATAGCTCGAGTGGAAGCGGCGAGTGGGACATCCAAGGGTGACATGGAGGAGATCGTGTGAAGACGAGTTGAAACAGTATGGACTGACATGGATGCAGGTGAAAAGTACAGCAGAAGACAGAAGCAAGTAGAGACGTGTAGTTGAAGCTCTATGTTCCACTAGGAACCCAAGAGAACAATAATAAATAATAATAATAATGTTGATTGCAGCAAATCTCCAAACTGATTCCACTGTGATAGACGTCTGCCTTGCCTTTCCGATTCTGACCGAATTCGTCATCTTCACCCGTGCCGACTGCCTGTAGTTGAAACGATGCTGCCTGGCCGGATAAGTGAAGGAAGTGATCTCTCCCGGTTGATGATGATTGGTGTGTGTGTATAACACTTTTGCTCAAGCCTTGTATACTGTCTAGACACATGAAGAGATGAATTCTATTGTAAAAGCTAAAATGAAGCGACAGGCGTTAAAATCTTCTGAAATGGAAATAGAAGATTGATATACTATCACAATAATAAATAAAAAACAACAATATGAATATACCTACGTGGCCAAGTTTGATTCTGTACTATATTCCTTTAAGTCTACAACAGCTCTGTCTGACAGTGAACATGTCGTAAATCAGAGTAAACTCTTTTCCGAATGTATTCCGGACATCATTAGGCGCCAGGATACGTCATAGGCGGAATATATATGTTCAATACATCATTCAGTAAGCTCAGTAGGTGACTAGCAATGTATAACTAATAATATACGTATGACAGTTTGCTTCCTTCACACAATAATTCACACACACACACTACATGCTCATAGAGCTATACAGTTGTCACAAGAATACCTAGTCTTTCACTTGTAACGATTATCGCAGACTTTACAATTATATCAATCTACCTGTGAAGAAGATAATTTTTGTAATAATATTTGAGGAAGGCAAATTACAAAACCTGACTGTATTTGTCACATATGATGATGTCGCTTTAATCACTGTCTGACCAGTGCCTTGTATTTCCTCCATACCTTAATTTAAGACACTGAATATTAATATGAAATTAAGAAAGTTAGCACTGTGCTAGAGTACAATTACGTCATAGAATAAATTTGTTTTATACACTAATATAGTATTATTGTCTACTGATGACGTTTAGAGCACAATTTATTGCTCACAATCCTATTAAAGCCCTCAGATAACTTTCTAACTTCATTTTGTATAATTCCATCACTTCCTCTCCTTTGATTATGCTGGTGGTAGTATTCTCCATATCTTTGGTATTGGCGTTGAATGTAGATTCTCTAACAAAGATTCAGTGGTCAACTTCTCCACCCACATAACTATGCTACGTTTTAGAACTGCTGCCTTGTCCTACCCATATTGTTTGATTGTGTGTTACTCCATGCAGAGTAATCGCTGAGTTGTCCTCCAAACTATTCATCGTCGTGAAATCAATCATTCTACATTCAGCTAAATCCTATGTTCTGATAATCTGACAACCCCTGATCCACTGGCATGACCTGTGTTATTGATTGACCTTACAGTCATCGTAAGGTATTTTCATGGGTTACATCGATTCGTCTAATTGGGTCAGTAGGGTCCTTTTACCTATAGAGTTTGTTTATAAGTAAGTTTGTAGGTACGAACGCCACCCTGATTCCTGGTTTATTAAGAATCCTACGTAGAGTCGTAGATTTCCCTGCTTTATATGCTAAAACTGTAGATGTCTCAGGTTCTTTCGTATCTGTGTTAATGATTAATAGTTTCATCGTCTTAATCAATTTTATGGGAATATATATATGTCTAAACCAAGTTAACTTTTAACAGTTTGAAAACATTTGGGCATTAGGTATATGATATTCATTAAAATAAAGGTTTTTTGTATCTCCCAATGAATGAATGAAAAACAAAACGATGTTGTTTTTACTGTGTATAAGCTGATAAAAGCAGCGTCTCTCTACATAATGAAATCTCTTACCCCATTCGTGTTGATTTTGTCAACAAATTCCGTCTACGTCCATCATTTCTATTCAGGAAATATGGATTCCACTTCATATGAAGTGCTTCTGATGATATTAGACTTTCTATGTGATTTCTGAAATGCTTTTTCTGGATGGTGATTTCAATATTGTCAAAATCAATTTTGTAACCTGATTCTATGGCGTGAAGACAGATCTATGGCTGGTGATTTTTCAAGCTTTTCCAGTTCACTAACTGGATTTCTCGGTGGTTGATCAGGTGCTTTACGATGTTCATTTCTTCTGATTTTGATTTTTCTCTGGCGATGTTTGTCTGATATATATCGCATCACATTCCAAGCAAGCATTTTATTTTATAGACACAATTAGATAGAGAATCATTAGGGATTTGGTCTTTTATGTAGACAAGGTTGTTTCGCAGTGTGTCTAATGTTTTGAAGAAAACTATGGTGTTTTTATCATATGTGAGGATAGATGTCCCGCGGACGACACTCGTTGGGGTCGCACTAAATCACGAATCGGTAGAATTTAGAATTCATGCACCGGCCATTGAATTGGGTCCTAGTGGCTGAATGGTATACGAGCTCACTGGCCTCGTAACCGGAAGGTCCTGGGTTCAGACCTCGTGTGGTGGGTGCGTACTGCCGATTATTCCCAAACTAGTGGGATGAAACAGCTCGCTGTCCAGTACTCCGTGTGGCTGGTTTCCAATGGTTCTCTAACTGATATCAATCCGTGATCAACTCGTAAAAAAATAATAATACTTTATTTCAACTTCCTACTGTTCTTTGTCCAATGTTCTACTACTACTACTCCTTCTTCTTCTTCTTTTCACCACTTTTTTTCAGGCAAATTCAAAATTTATCAGTATAAATTTTTTTCGTTTATTCCGTGTAATGAGACTTGTGAAATTATTAAATCGTGGTGAGGGCATACGAACACTGTTATGGACATTTGTTAAATCCTTTCAGGTAGGCATTTATTTTAACCACTGGATTACAATTGTTATCACTATTATTATTATTATTGTCGTTTTATTTTTGACGATTGAATGGATTTTTAGAGGATTATTTAAAACAGGAGTTTGAAATCTCTATTTCGCCAACTGAGTAGTATTCCCATCTTATAATCTGATCACATAGGGCCTAATTTCTAAAGTCTTGAATGCATATTTCTGAAGACTACCGAAATTTTTTCATGGAATCCTCTCCGGCTCTCATTGATTTTCAGTGACTGATTATCTAAATGATATGGCCACAAAACTGAATCCACCTTTGGTACTTTTCACCCTGCAAACCAACATGATAGATGTCCAACACGATTTCGCTGCAGTATCCGGAATGATATTTGCTTGTGTACTGGTGAAATGAAATCGTTTTCTCCCTGGCGACCACTCATTTTATCTATTAGAGAGAGTCCTACAGGAATGCAGTTGTAAGTCTAAATAGGTAAGCGACAAAGTATTTGACCGCAACACTGGGTGACCTGGGCTGGAATCTCAGAAGAGTTATCTCTCCGTTGTTGGAATGCCTTGCCGATAAGCACCAGTAGTCACTAAAGATTTGATCTGGGATTTCCTGTCGATTGCTTACAACCATCCAACATTAATTCCATGTAGAAAATTCTAGATAATTTACATGAATAATTATTGAATAGTTTGATGGATTCAAGAAACAGAGATTAACGGACAGGTAATGAATAACACTCATATAAGACTGAAAACAGAAAGATATTCAACAAAGAATCTGCACAACCACATTATTGAAGATAACAGATTGTTGATGGTAGACGTCACGAATGAGTATATTCCAACTGAAAAGCTGAGTAGTAGTGAGAACACGAGTTGCTTTATCATCCGGATAAATGACGAAACATCAGTCTCTTCTGTAATGACTATTGACTAGTGAAGAAATCTACTTTACCATTAATTAATTACTCTCAAGTCTGTGTGGAGGTCAACAGCACTCAGCATCAAAACTAAGATCCGGATTTTCAACTCCAATGTAAAGTCATTGCTACTATATGGATCAGAGACTTGCACTGCGCATCATGAAGAGCACCTCAAACGAACTACAGACCTTCATTAACAGTTGTCTTCGCTCAATACTCAAAATCAGATGGCCAGAAAAGATCACCAACAGAGATCTCTTAGAGCAAACCAATCAGGAACCGATTATGCAACAAATCTACAGGAAGAAATAGAGTAGGTGGATTGGCCATACTCTGAGGAAACAATGCATCAAGTGACATCACTAGACAAGCCCTCGAGTGGAAACCGAATGGGAAGCGGCGAGTTAGTCGTCAATGCGAGGTTGACATGGAGGAGGTCATGTGAAGAGGAGATGAAAACGTGTGGGCAGACTTGGAGCCAGGTGAAGACTCTAGCAGAGAACCGAACGCAATGGAGACGCATGGCTGAAACCCTATGTTCCTCTAGGAATTAAAGGAAACAATAATAATAATTAATTAGCTGAATCTAGTCTGTCTAAGACAGGTGAATTAACAGTTCATGAAGCGAATGATGGGACAAAAGTTATTACGGTAAGAACTTGCGTATTGAAGATTATTCGATAGACCTCCTGGAAGGTGATATTTCAAATATCCCTTCAATTTAAGTTCATCTTCCATATTTATTTGTTTATTTATTGGATATGTATCACAGAGTTATGCGGAATTATTTACTTGGTGACGTTTCTAATACAGCTTATTATTGTTCATAAATCATATCAGTTATAACTGAATAACTTCGAGAGTTGAGTGTTATGGTTCTCTTTATCCCTTTCCACGTAGAATTCCCAAAACAGGCAGGAACAAAAGTTATATCCAAACCCACAAACTCATTTATTAACAAAATTATGTTGGTTAAAGTATCCTATAGAGCCAATTAAAGCCCATTAAGTAACGTAGTTTACCTAGTACCCTGAAATGCCTGGAAGATCAAACACATAGACCAAATTAGTAGGATGGGGTCAATCAAACTAGTGGAACCCCGAAACCCAACAAAATTTAGATTATCTAACCTTAACAAGATAATAAATCCAAAAAATAGTCCAGCTATAGCACTTCATGCAGTTACACACAACCATAAAATAGGATGGGATAAGATTAACTTCTTAAAATCTAATGTAACGGGCTGGAGCGGAAACTTTATTTATCTAATTAGCTGAAAATAAGTGTAATAAAAGTGATCCATTGGTTACAGGATTTCATCATGAGCTGACATCGGTTAGAGAACCAACTGGAAGTACTGGAGAGCTGTTTCCTCCGTCCTACTTTAGGACTCTCCAGCAGTACGCTCCCACTGGCGTTCCAACCCAGGACCTTCTGGTTACAAGGCGAGCTCAGAGACCATTGAGCCACTGGGACCCGATCCAATGGCTAGCCGATGAATTCCAACTTCTGCCAATTCACGATATAGCGTGACCGCTAGCCAGTGTCTTCGACGATTCCAAAACCTGGCGGTGCGTGTGTACTGTGAAGAATCCCAAAATAAGACGAAACAGCTGTCCAGCACTCTCAGGTTTTCAAATGGTTCTCTAACCGATGTCAGCTCATGATGAAATCCTGTTACCATTCAGTCAAATCCCCACAAACCAATACTTGAAAAAATGATTGGACATCTGCGGGGACATCTGAAACATTCTGGTCCTCTACTGTGATCGAGAAGGAATAAACAGTGCCATAAAACTCAATTTTCAAGGTTGTTTAGTTATAATTAATATGATTATGAGCAATAAATTATGTTCAACAAGCAACTGAGTAAACAATACTATTTCATGGTGTGATACATACAATAAACAAAAAATAATGTGGGTTAGTTATTCTGATGCTGACTGGAATTCTAGTGCGAGGCCGTGACCAGTGGGATCAAGCCGGTCTGAAATGAGGCCAAATACTTGCTGATGATATTCGCTGGTGGTTGTACTAAAATCACGAATTGGTAGAAGTTAGAATTCATGGGTTGGCCATTGAGGAGTCGAGTCCCAGTGTCTGAATGGTCTACGAGCTCGCCTCGTAACCGGAAGATTCTCAGTTCAAACTCCTGGAGGTGGATGCGTACTGCCGATGAGTCGTAAATTAGGACGGAGGAAACAGCTGCCCGGTACTCCCTGCTAGTTTCCCAATGGTTCTCTAACTGATATCAATCCGTGGGAAAAGTTGAAATTAATATCAAAGTGCTTAAGTTTTACACATTTACTAATTAAGTTCATGTTGAAAGTGATAAGAAATACGCAAACATTTTCTTTAAAAATTCACATTCTCTTTTCTTTTCTCTTTTTTCAAGGCATTACCATATGTTGCCTTACTCATCATAATGTTATTTTTTATCTATGCTGTTATTGGAATGCAAATGTTTGGTAAAATTGCTTTAATTAATCCAGATAGCTCAATAAATCGTAATAATCATTTTCAAACATTTCCACAATCCTTATTAGTATTATTTCGTTCTGCAACTGGTGAAGCATGGCAAGAGATTATGTTAAGCTGTGTTAATGGTAAGTTATTCGTACTCTCTCTCTCTTTCTACATATATATATATATTTGTACGTGTGTGTGGTTCAACGGTAGAATGCTATTCAACTACGAGTCACTTGGTCCAGGGTTCGACTCCCTGTCGGCACACGTATTTACCTCCCCTAGCTGGTTATAAGTCCAACAAAGAGGGAATGTTAGGCTTGAGGCTACCAACCCCATCTCGTAAAATACATTACTGTTACTTGGGCTTCAAAGCTCAAGCCTGAGGCCTTACGTTCCACCCGGAATGTAAAAGAAATTATATATATATATATATATATATATATATATATAGAAATAAACGTATGCATATGCCTAACAGTCAAGCAACTCCTCATTCACTTACTGATTTCACACACTGAGTTCAATGAACGAAATATTCCCATATTGAGTCATAAGAAAAAGGCGCAAACAGCGAAGAAAATTTTCTTTTCGAAGATTCATTTTCATGAGCTGTACAATCGTAATTATATTAAACAAAGAAATCTATAGACCAATCAAATACTGGTAAACTTTGTCCTCGAAAAATGCATTATATAATGTAAGGTGTAAGAAGGGATAACTAATTGTAAGTTAGAAAAGAGGCAGAAGTTGGCATGACGTCAAGCCAACTGGAAAATGCATTCTAGTTGAACATCTCATAAGTTGATTTCTAGTTGACAGACACGTCCATGGAAACTACTGGCTATTTTATCACTTGGGAAAGTCTTCTTGGTCCTATTGGAGAGGAGTTAAGAATAGATTTGAAGTCAGTAATGATAATAATAATGAATAATAATAATACATTGGGAGAACAGAAAAAAGGGCATACCTCCGAGTTTCTGAACATGTACAGAAAATCTTACTTCTTAAGGGAACAAACACCTACAATAGTGCCATTACCACGCAACTCTTTGAAACGGGTTATGAGGTGGACATGGCGAAATCCTTTAAAATTATTGATAGACAAAAAACCTCAATTCTCCTCAAGTTTTCTGAAGCAGTTTTTCTATCAAACACCCGAAATCTGATTTATGTGTTCTGAAAGAAGCAGTTATCAGTATTCCATTGCCCTGCCTGGTAACTGGATGTTATTATTCCACCTTTCATTTGATTACGTAATCCTCGGCTTTAACCTCACTCTTTATATAGTGTAACTTTACTTGTCTCTTATTCTGATGCTTCGAGTTGAACTCAGTACATAGTTACCCGCTCTATCAGTCACTCATCATCTTATACATCTCTTGTCTTCGTTGCGTAACTCCTTTATCATTGTATGCACACATTTACTTTGTTTAAACTTGAACTGCCTCTGAGCGCTGTTCATTAAGTTCGAAACCTCCTGTCGGCTGACATCATGCAAGTATTTTAAAAGTTTTCTGTACATAAACTTAATAATAATTTATTTAGGCTGCAAACAGCAACTGATCAGAAGCCAACGAAATAAGCAATGATGGTACCATGTTATTCATTGAAAACTGTTGTTCTTGCTTTATTCAAATAAATAACATCAGTGGTAACAGGATTTACACTATCTGGCTTCCAGTACGAAATCTATTGTGACGCGATTTCAATTATCATTTTCATCTTTTTTCCAAAATTCTTTTATTGTAGAGGAATTATATTTATCAGAAATCATAGGGATTAGGAAGGCTTCTAATTAATACATATTCTATAACCATAAATTCTATACTATTATTGTATTATTATTATTATTGTTCCCTTGGGTTCCTAGTGGAACATAGGGCTTCAACTACACGTCTCCACTTGCTTCTCTCTTCTGCTGTACTTTTCACCTGCATCCATGTTAGTCCATAATGTTTCAAATCCTATTCACACGATCTCCTCCATGTCATCCTCGGACGTCCCACTCGCCGCTTCACTTTCGGCTTCCACTCGAGCACTGGCCTGACGCGCGATGTCACACAGTGGCCACCTCAGCGAGTGTCCAATCCATCTCCACTTTCTCCTGCATATTTGTTGGGCGATTGGTTCTTGTTTTGTTTGTTCCCATTGTTTCTTGTTGGTGATTCTTTCCGGTCATCTCATCTTCAGTATAGAAAGAAGACAGTTGTTGATAAAGATCTGCAACAGGCTGTTGGAAATATTCTTTGTGACCCGCCAAGTTTCTGATCCGTATAGAAGAACTGACTGACTTGACGTTTGTATTGAAAATCTGAATTTTGTTGTTGATGATGTTGAGTGACGAAGATTTCCAGATTGGTTTCAGGTTGATGAATGTGTTTCTCGCCTTCCCGATTCTCGTCTCGATTTGACATCCTCGTCCGTTCCTTCTGTAGTTGAGACAATGCTCCCTAGATAAGAGAATGAAGTAACCTCTTTCAAATCCCTCCCATTGATGGTGATTGGCTCTGGATATTGCTGGTGCTGTTGTTGGTTGGTTATTTTCATAACCTCCGTCTTGTCTATGTTCACCTGGAGTCCTGTCTTTGCTGCTTCTTCGACCAGTTTGTCGGTTTTCGCTTGTATGTCTTCGATTTTGTGTGACATCAAACATAAATCATCCACGCGCGAAATCCAGGTCTTCTAGATTCTTCACGTCGGTCCAGGATACCCCTGTCTTCTCGCTTCCCAATGTCTGACATAACATAGCAAGTAGCTAAGCAATATTTGGTTTGGTTGGTGAAAAGTCCTAAAATATCCGAAAGTATAAACTGTGTATTGAAAAAAAGTTTTTAATAAAACTCTTCCCTTTTTATCATTAATTGCAGTGATATTCTTTCTGGCTAATTTAATTCTCTCTTCACTTTGTCTTCGTATTCAATATTCTTTTCATTAATTATAATTTCGATTTTCTGGACATTAATTGATTCGCTCGCTTCAAGCGTCATAGTATAATACTAGTTCAATTCTTTGACAATCTAGAATTCCTTCACTCTGACTCTGCCCTCTTAGAAAACCATGTTATTCATTTTCCCTCTTATATATATATATATACCTTGAAGAAATGAAGTCATTGAAATAAAAACTAAATGGAGCTGCGGTGGCATCGATTTTCTCCTTTGTAAAACCATGTTGGTAAGTGTTCGGTGATACGTTTGGAAAGCGAGCACTGGGTATATCCGAATTATCTGGCTCCACACGAGCAGTTGAGTTGATAAATACACACTGATGAGGCCAGCAGTGGTAGCTTATCCTTTACGTTTACATGAATCATAGGTTTTGTGGAGAAGGTTAATCGTAGTTCATCTGCGAAGAAGGTTTTCTTAAGTGAGCGCGACAGTCGACATTTTAGTGTTTCCGCAGATAAATCTCCATTGAATTGAAGATTCATGTACAGTAGTTTTTTCGGGACGCTAAGCATGAGCGGCTTTTCTGGTCTAGGATTCATAGATTTTGCAATAGATCTTCCTGGATAACAATTCTCGACGAGGATTCTCTTGAGACTGTCTGGTTCATCTTCTATGGTATCCGGGGTGCGAATTCTGCGAACTCTGTAGCTCAGTGAACGGATCAGGTTTCGTTTGGTGTACAGGGGTACCCAACTGTGAAAGTTAGTAAGCTGTCCGTTCCACGTCGACTTTCTGTGGATAGACCTTTTCAGTGTTCCATCTTGTTCTCGTCTTGTTAGTTGGACGTCAAGAAAGGATATTTTGGAGTTGGACTCTTTCTCCAGCATGAACTGAATCGCGGGGTGGCAGTTGTTAAATTAAATGCTTCTTCGCTGAACACTTCTTGATTTTCCCTTAAATATTCTTAAATAAATCGGCATTTCGGTATGGTTGAGTGCTCCAAGTTTTGAATGATTTATTCGTGAAGCTGTCATTGTCGCCTTGTGGACAACATCATCAGCAAGAAATATTCAATATGAAGTGGACTTATTTGAACCCGCCCCCCCCCCCAGTGAAAGATATAACTGTATCTCCTGACAGACCTAATCCTACCACAAATAAAGGGTGTCTCTGAAATAACGTCTAGGATACTATAACCGTTTCGTCCTAGTTTGGGACTCTTCATCAGTAAACACATAAACTATGACGAAATGGCTGTTCAGGTTTTGTAATGGTTTTGTAATCGATGTCAGCGCATGATGAAATCCTGTAACCAATCAATAATCACTTCACAGTAAACACTATGGAGACTGAAGGATTCAACAGCATAAGGTGACATTATCAACACTATCTACAAAATAAATCGTATGAACTGTGATAAACACTTGTAAATATCATTTTTGTAAAATCTCAACGAAATTGAAATGCGTAATTCCAACGTTTCGTACGAAAAACTGGTCTGAACATCTTCAGGGAAATTAATCGAAATTAACATAACAGAGGTTTATACATAAAAAGGACATCTCTCTTATTTTTAAAATCTTTGTCCAGTCAATCCGTTATATTAATTTCGAATAATTACCCTGAAGAAGTTGGGACCAGTTTGCCGAACGAAAAGTTGGAATTACGCACATAGATTTCGCTGAGATTTTACAAAAATATAATTTCTACAAATGTCTACTTCTCACTCGGTGGCGACCAGTTATTTTAGAACTATTCTGTCAAATCTTGACCACAGTTCATCTGATAAACATTGTATTGGTCCTAGTGGACATCACCTTAGATTGAGAATCCAAGAATACAAAATAAAAGTGAAAAGTCATAAAATGTATTCGACCACATTGATGCATGTAGACAAGTAGGAAAAGCATCCTTACTAGGAAAATGTAGAGATTTAAAAAAACAATGGAATCGTCAAAATTACCATAAAATTCCTAGAAGCGAGGTACACCGACAAATCACCGAATAACAAACATGACTGTAGATCTGGGTGACACGCGGGTTCCAATTTTAGAAGACTGATGAGTTCCTTCAAGATTGCAGAGAAAGGCCTTGCTGACTGGTAAGTGCTAACTAGCACGAAACCTAGGTCCATAGCTTCCTGTGGCTGATTGCGTCCAACCATCTAATATGATTATAGATCTAATTTATCAGATAAAGATAGAGAATAAGTGACATGACAAAAAACGCCGAATTCCATCCAAGTCAATAGATGCGATCAACACTGATGCAAATTAACAACCAATCACGTTAAAGGTTATGAGGAGATACAATTATCTAAGAATAGAACTTATGAACTGTGGTGAGACACAATGAGATACAATTACGTCAAATAATGGAAGATTAGAATAAGTATACTTCATATTGAGGCTTGCTATGAAGATGTTGTCTAGAGGGAGAGAACAATAAAAGCTTCACAAATCAGTCACCCGCCTTCGAGAAGGCAATCACATCAAAATCATTCATCTGAGCTAATAAATACCTCCTTTATTATCTCAATTAGTCGGTGTATTCCATCATACATTTGTTTACAATAATTATAGCAAAAATATTCATTCGGAAATCTATAAAACACAAAATAATTTAGCAAAGAATATCCTTTTCGATAATTTCCTCTTCTGGCTCTACAACTATATATATGTATATATATATCTTTATATACATAGAATATTCTAGATTAGTAGTCAATAACAATATTAGTGTTTTTTAAAATAATATCGATTTGTAAAGTAAGATCACAATGGAATTACAGTTCATTAAAGATGCTTGAATTATAATAATAATAAAGATAAACAGCGAATAGAATATCAACTAAAATTAGGAAAATTCCACAAAAATTCAGGATCATTCAAACCTAGATGACCAAGGTAATGATAATGTCTGAACTAACTTCTTTTGGATGCATAAATTAGGCTTGTTAATATGGATCCCCACAGCCTCAGCAATATTTAGTAGTCGAACTCTTAAGGCAAAATTGAGATTCGTAGGTATGCGGTAAATGACCCTGAAAGCATGATTAACGTCAATCTTGTGTTCTGTCTCCACAAGATGAGACAGAATAGCGCTGTGAATAGATTTTGTTTGTCCTTTGCTTAATCAGGCAGGGTGATGTTCAGAAATTCGACGAGAAACATGCCTAATTGTACGGCCTATGTAACTGGCTCACTCCACAGAAGCAGTTAAATTGGTAGATACACTTGGAAGAGGCGAAATTAGGCAGTTTGTCTTTTATTCCCGAACACAGAAGAGGAGTGGTTTTAAAGACACAGCGTAATTCAGCAGCAGGGAATGCTCCTTTTACCGCATTTCTAAGGCGCTGTGTTTGTATCTCACTGGTATTGTCCCCAAAGAACTGCATCTGTAAGAATAAGGCCTTTTTTGGAACTGTTGGTAACTTGGTTTGCTTTGGTTTCAAATTCATATTCTTATCAATAAACTTTTCAGGATAACCATTCTCACTTAGCAACCGTTTAATATTGTTAAGTTCCTCATCAAGACATTCATCCGAGCAAACTGCTCTTGCTCTGTGAACTAAGCACTTTATGAGATTGCGTTTGTATTTCAATGGCACAAAGCTGAGAAAATGTGTGTACTGACTCGTTATTATTATTACTTGTTTCTAATTTTAGATCATACTGTTAAATGTGATCGATATTCAGATACAGAAATGAAAGCAATACGTAGTTTTTTAGATGAACAATTTCCAGTTTATTATAATCTAAGCGATACATCAACTACTTCTGATGCAATCATAAATGGAAAAAGTAATACATCAAAAACACCAATTATTACTTTGTCTAATTATTCAACAAATAATAGACAAACTTTTCAATCATTATCTACTAGTACTACTCCTGTAACTATTACTGATAATAGTAATAATAATAATGGTAATGGAGTAGATTATAATACATGGAATATAATCGATAATGGATTAATTCATACAAACCAAACACCATCAACACTGCATTCATTACACTCACCACCACCGACCTTCATGACACCAGATAATCCACTGGATTTCAAGGATTGGACGTATGCATTCCCATCTGTTGAAACTATCCACTCGACAGGCGAAGAGTATAACTTCCCAACAGACTATATAGGTCAACAGCAGCGACGTATTCGATCAGTGCAGAATCAACCGACATCATCATCTTCCCCATCATCAACAACAGCATCAGGATCACCTCAATCATCATCATCATCATCAACAGTCTCAACTCCATTGACAACCGCGAATGAAATTCAATCAAATCAAATTGTTTATGAGTATTATGATGAGAGGACAATTAGTGCAAAGAAGTTGGAAGAGTTAGGTTATAATGGGCCAAGAGCTACTTGTGGATCAAATTTTGCTTATCCTTATTTTATATCTTTTTATATGGTTTGTTCATTTCTGGTAAGTTTATGTGTTCTTGTGTTTTTTTCCTGAAATAATATTTTAAATTATATGTAATGTGTGTAATGAGTAGTGAGTCACGACAAGATTCGAATCAGCTTCAGTCATCGATCACAGTGGGTCAGCGCAAGACTACCTCATATATAGGCCTTATCATCCATTCACAACACATCAGGGGATTACTCCTAGTAAATGCAATGAACTGGTGCACACTTGGTCTCGCAGCTCACAGAGTACAGATCCAGATTATCGAGTATTGATTTCATAGGGACTTTGTTTGATTGGTTGGAGGATTTCATCACGAGCTGACATCGGTTAGACGACCATTGGAAAACCAACTGGGAGTAGTGGACAGCTGTTTCCTGCCATCCTACTCTTGGACTCTTCAGTACTACGCACCCACACTGTGGGGTTCGAGACCAGGACCTTCTGGTTACAAGGCGAGCTCGTAGACCGCTAAGCCACTGGGACCCGATCCAATGGCTTACCCATGAGTTCTACCTTCTGCCAATTCATGACATAGCGCAACCATTTTGCAATGTTTTTCTTCTATGAGTTACTGCCTCACCTTCAACCTGCTGCACCCTACTAGTCACCCCCTTCTCACTAGAACCCCAGTTTAACTGCCTGAATAGGGCCAGTCGCTAGTGTGCATCAGCTCATGGACTAGCCACTGGATCGGATTCCAGTAGCTTAACAGTCTGTGAGGTCGCCTTGTAATTAACCATAAGGTCCTGGGTTCGAAGCCCTGTGATGGGTGTCTATTGCTGAAGAGTCCCAGAGTAGGACGGAAGAAACAGCTGTCCAGTACTCCCAGTTGATTTTTCAATGGTTCTCTAACCGATGTCAGCTCATGATGAAATCCAGATGAGTAGTTTTGGGGCTGCTGCGGACAATGTCTCCGTATCATATTCAATCACCTGCATATTACTGTCATACCTTAGCATTATTATTATTATGTGATCTTTATTAATTCATTGAGTAAGACAAGGCTACCTACTATCGCCAATGATTTTCCTGATTGCAGTAGATTGGATAATGCGACAAACAGTGGGCAATGAGGAAACAGGCATAAAATGGACACACACAAAAAACTTGGAGGATCTGGACTTCGCCGATGATGATATATGTCTGATTTCCCACAAACTGGAAGATATGCAAGCGAAAAGCAACAAGTTGGCAGAAGAAGCGTCCAGAGAAGATTGGACTTCAGGTGAACATAGAGAAAACAGAGGTGATGAAGATTCCTGAGCAACAGCACCAACAGCAACAACAACAAGAACAGACAACGATCAGCATAAATGGAAGGAACCTGAAAGAAACAACCTCCTTTACCCATCCGGGAAGCATCGTTTCAACTACAGGCGGACGGAACTGACGAGGATATCAAAGCAAGAATCGGGAAAGCAAGAGACAATCTTTCACTACTCTCAAGTCTGTGTGGAGGTCAACACTCAGCACTCAGCATCAAAAATAAGATCCAGATTTTCAACTCAAATGTGAAGTCAGTGCTACGATATGGATCAGAGACTTGCAATGCGCGTCATGAAGAGCATCTCAAACAAACTACAGACCTTCATCAACAGTTGTCTTTGCTCAATACTCAAGACAAGATGGCTGGCCAGAAAAGATTAGCAACAAAGAGGGATCTCTGGCAGTTAGCGAACCAACCAGGAACCGATTGTGAAACAAATAGGCAGGAAGAAATGGAGGCGGATTGGATTGGGCATACTCTGAGGAAACAATGTATCAAGTGACATCACTAGACAAGCCATTGCTCAAGTGGAACCCGAAAGGGAAGCGGCGAGTTGGTCGTCAGCGTGAGGGTGACTTGGAGGAGGTCATGTGAAGAGGAGATGAAAGTGTGTGGGCAGACTTGGAGCCAGGTGAAGACTCTAGCAGAGAACCGAATGCAATGGAGACGTGTGAGGCTGAAGCCCTATGTTCTTCTAGGAATTAAAGGAAACAATAATAATATTAATTCAATGCACAATATACAAGTTATGATTTTTATATGCATCGGCAAGTTATGTGTAATAAAGATTACTACAATATCTTCATTATGAAAGTTTGGCTTTCACTACTGACTAAAGCAAGTTATTATATACCACTTTAAACTGACAATAACAGAACGCAATGGAGACGCACGGCTGACGCCCTATGTTCCTGTAGGAATTAAAGGATACAATAATAATAATAATAATTAAACTGACAATTAATGGATGGAAATTAAATCTCAGCAATATAAGTACGGAAAAGTTATTTTTAAATAATTGAGGGAAGATGTGTAGCTCAGATGGGTGCTTTTGATACGGTTGTGTTCTCTGAGATAGGCTGTTCAGCTGCACAGCTGTCAGGATCTCTATTGTCTGTGATTTTGTAAAGGATCTGGTTGAATCAATCACTATTTTGTAAATGTATCTTATTTGATAACTTCATAAGAATGACAATCTAAAGCTTAGAAGACTAAAGAAAATTTGAGCAAAGACTCCCTACAAACCAACACTTGAATATCAATGTGATGCTCACAGGCGACTTGCCCTATTCAGGTAGGTAGTTACCTGGGGTTCTAGTGGGAAGCCGTGACCAGTAGGGTGCAGCAGATGGTCGGGTGTGAGGACAAATACTCGCCGAAGACATTGGCTAGCGGTTGCGCTATATCGTAAATTGGCAGAAGTTAGAATTCATGGGTCATTGGATCGGGTTCCAGTGGCTTAATGGCATACGAGCTCGCCTTGTAACCAGAAGGTCCTGGGTTCGAACCTAGGTGGTGGGTGCGTACCGATGAAGAGTCCTAAACTAGGACGAAACAGCTTTCCAGTACCCCCAGGTTTTCCAATGGTTCTCTAACCAATGTCAGCTCATCATGAAATCCTGTAACCAATCAACCAAATCCCTACAAACCAAAACTTGAATATTCTTTTTGATAATTTCCTATTGCGGCTCTACAAATATATATATATAATCGTCATTAACAATAATGGTGTTTTGTTGAGATCAGTGGAATTACAGCTTAAGAAAGATGCATAAGTAATGCATAAGCATGAAAATGTTTTTAGTAAATAGAACACCAAATAAAACTAAGGAAATTTCTACAACAAACTGAGGATCGTTAAAACCTTGGTAGCTAAGGTAAGGTAAGGAAAGTGTCTGAACTAAATTTCTTTTGCATACAGAATTTCTTAATGTTTCTTAATGTAGATTCCAACAGCCTCAGTAATATGTAGTAGACAAACTCTTGAAGTAAAATTAAGATTAGTTGATATTACTGTAGGATGACTTTGAAGGCCTTGTTTACATCAATTGTGTGTGTGTTAAAAATTAATTCAATAATAATAACTATCGAAGAGTTAAATGGTGTTAATTAGGCATTATCTAATATTTCTTATTTTACCTCATCATGTGAACTTTTCAAACTATCGAAACTATCTATGTGTTGGTTTGTTTTCTATAACCTAGGCGGAGTTTTAATTACAGATAGGTAGATTTGAGGAGAAATCATAAGCAGCATAATCATATCCATCTTCTTTCAGACTAATACTAGTAAGATAATCAATCATTGAAAACTAAGAATCACTGGTTAACTGTTTCGTTCTGGTGTGTGGCTCTTCAGCAGCGGCTGTAGGATGATTATATCTTGGTTCTTAGACGAACTCATGATCGTTAGGGTTTACTATGTCAGGGTAAAGTGCATGCACATCGGTGCCAGGTGTGCGTCGGTGGCATAGCAGTAAGGACGCTCGCCGACCATGTACATGGTCCGGGGATCGATCCCCGGCCGATGCACTCCTCGCTAAGGCAGAAATAATGCTGGTGAAGAGGAAAGGTTGGGCATGAGGCTAGCAACCCCATCCTGTAAAATAAACACTGCTACAGAAACTTCAAGCCACTAGCTTGAAGCCCTATGTTCCACTGGGGAACGTGAAGGAAAAAAACATCGATGCCAGTGTTTAGTGGTAGTTTTGTATCAAAAATTGATGGGTTTTATGATTCACAAATCACTTTATACCAACCTGTTGGCTGAATGAATGAATAATCATCAGTCTGACCTCGTAACTTGAAGATTCTGGATTTTCATACATGGTGGAATTATTAGTGCATACTGCTAAAATGGGCTTTGACTATAAGAAGAGATCTCGTAATTACTCAATGACTTTTTTTGTTAGATTTCCTAACTGAACATGGAATTATTCACAAGTTGTCTTTATTTAGTCACTACACCTTTACTATACAACAATATTTGATCATGGGGAATAAGAAGAAGACAGTTGCAGCGAAGAAAATTTTCTTTTCGACGAAGTCACCGTCATCTAGGCTGTACATTCGTGTATTTATATCAAATGGATGGGAAAGTTCCAGAACAATTTCCGGTTAAGGGTCAAATTAATAAAAATTACAGTTAGGAATTAGAATGCCATAATAAACAGGGGGAGGGATAAAATTCGAACAAAGTAGCATTATAATAACTAAGAAGATTGACATTGTGCAATTAGGGGTTAGAAATGTAGAAATAACAAAATAGACAGGATGTTTGGATAAAAAACTAATGTGATGAATAATTTGATAGTGTGGAATATTCCCATATTATGAATTAAAAGTCAATCTGAACGAAGAATATTTTTTTTCAATGCATCCTTCTCTTCAGGTTCTTACAATTATGAAATATAATATTTGTTGTCGTTACAATTAAGACCAGTTATGCGGCGGATACTTTTTTTAACGTAGAATAACAGATTAGTTATGGGGTGTCAAAATAAATAGTCGTATTTGTGTGACAAACGTTCTAGGCTGAATTCGATTACAAAATATTGTAAAATGGGAGACAATGGTGGTGATTAGTCATAATAGATTTGTAGAGTGTGGGGTAGGAAAATTGACAAGTCAGTTCAAGGTTATAAAAGGTGTCAGGTGAGTGAGTGGCTAGTACAAAGTGGTCTGTTAAACAGCAGATAGTAAGACTGCAATGGGAGGTTCATAATGAAATAACGAATGTGTGAAATGAAACAGGTGGAGGCACATATTGAGAAAAGAGATAATATCACTAATAATAAGTCCGGATAGTATAAATGAAAAATTCAATAGCATTGAGGGAATGTTTGCATGAAGGACATAAATTATGACGCATAATATTATTATTAATAATAATTGTAATTGTAATAGTAATATATGTAATAATAAGCAAAGGGCAAAGAGGGTTAAGGGCAAGGAGCACTCTTGGTGAGAAGAAGAATCATCAATCCAAGTTTGGCCACGGTAGGAACAGCGTCTGAACGTGATGAATAATTGTTTATGCAATCAGGGATTAAATATGTAGAAATAGTAAAATGACAAAATAAACAGGAAGTGTGGATATGAAAATATGGTAGTGTAGACAGGGATTAAGAAAAACTTAAAATAACATGAATAAACAGGAAGTTTAGATAAGAAAGGCGATGGGATGGTGATTACTAAACAACAATAATACTAAACAACAATAACAACAATATTTATATGATCTCTGAGTTAAATATCATCAACTTGTTATTTTCGTTCAATTGGCTTCAAAATATATGTAATTAGGTTAGTTTTCCATACCCTTTGTTTATTGCAAATCTATCCTTAATCTAATGCTCACCAGCGAATAAGTACAGAACAAAGTTGCCTGGAATTCTAGTGAGAAGTCATGGCTGGCGGAGTCCACGAGGTCGGTCATCTGGACGTAGCTTGGCAATGGCGCTATAGATCGTGAATTGACAGGACTTGGAACAAATGGGCCATTAGATCCTATCTCAGTAGCCGGATGGTCAGCTAGCTGGCCTTGTAACCTGGAGATCCTGGTGTCTATCCCTGATGAGTGGGGTTAATGATGCTTACTGATGAAGAGTCCCGAACTAAGATAAAACAACTACCCAGTACTCCTTGGTTTTCCATAGTTCTCTTACTGATATTCGTACATGATGAAACTAGAAATCCTATTCTGGCTGACTGCAATATACCTAAAGTTAAGTGATATAACCTTCCTTCAAATAAAATCGTTAGCATTATTATTATTATCATTCTGTTGAGTGCCGAATAGGGCATCTGACCACTAATTTTTTTAATGAACGAAATATTCCCATATTGAATCATAAGAAAAAAGGCACAAACAGCGAAGAAAATTTTCTTTTCGACGATTCATTTTCATGAGCTGTACAATCGCAATTATAATTAACAAAGAAATCTGTAGACCAATCAGATACTGGTAAACTTTGTTCTTGAAAAATTGTACTACATAATGTAAGGTGTAAGAAGGGATGACTAATTGTAAGTTAGAAAGGAGACAGAAGTTGGCATGACGTAATAAGTGTGAGATAGTGAATAATCAATAATCTCGTGTAAAATGGACAGGAACTAGTGGAAAGGCGATAAAGTGTTTTTCTATAAAATATGTATGAAATAGCAATGTTATTAATAAACAGTGGCAATAAAATATGGATGGTGGGAATAACAATGATAATAAAAGTATTAATAATAATGATAATAGTGAACTTACATAATAAAGGAAAGAAGTAAAATTGTGATAAGAACTTTACTCTGACCATGGTAGGGCAAGAGAATGTATGTATCGCTTTTGAATGCGGAGGTCCGGTTTCAAATCTCGAGTAGCTAATGCTTCAGATATGTACAAATGGCGTATCCAAAGTCCGTTTGTACGATATTGAGGGACTCTGTGTAACACTGTGAAGCATTCATGTGGGGGTGCTTGATGTCCGGAGATGACAAGGTGTTTGAGAATGGAGCTGTTGCTATTCTTCTTTTCTCCTCTGGTTAACCAAGCTGGGCAGTGTTCCAGAATACGTTTTTTAGGTGTCACCGTCAGCGAGCTCCAAGATTATTCATAAGCCTTCATCTCCTTTACACACACACACACACACACACAGAGCATCCGACATTATCATCCTTGAATTCATGCCTAATTCCAGCCTCTCGTCACCCATTTATGTATATACCATTGATTGACATTTAACAAAGTAGTGACAGTCTCGTAAATGTACCCTTGTTTTGTTTTGTTTTTACTGTTTCACCATTAATTAGATTATCAACTTATTTGTTGCTGTTATCATGGATAATTTTGATTATCTAACACGTGATTGGTCAATATTGGGACCACATCATTTAGATGAATTTATACGTTTATGGTCAGAATATGATCCTGAAGCAAAGTGAGTGACAAATTATATTCGTTATGTGAATTAAATTTTTTAAAGTAGCTATGATTATATAATAGTATCATTACTGTTCAACATATATATACATATAAATATTAGGATTTTAAGACTAATACTAATAGTTATTACGTCACACTCCATTCTGTATAACAGTTTACATGAGTGTGTGTTTAAGCGGTCCCCAATACACAGGGAAGAGTGATCGCGCTCTGTACGTGAGGGTAGGAGAACAAATGAATTGTGAGTCCTCGATAAACGTAGGGTGGCAGATTGCCAACTTCGTCTATAGCAAAACACCTAATTGATATGAATCATAAGATTGACAGCAAAAAAACGTCTTTCAGGACAATCTATGCCTACTGAAATACGCCTAGACAATATCTTTCTGTAGAATTAAGCCCCTACCTTCCATCTGTATATGTTCAAAAAGAATTTATTGTTACCCCTAACCCACCTCGGTAATCATTATCTAATTATATTACAAAAAGTAGTGTTAAGTATTATCCCACATTTACTTTTTTTGATTTTTTTGATTTTTGATTACAGCTTGATTTCACACCGTATTTTTTGGTACAGGTATGGAATTTTCAGCATATGATATCGGTAGCCCAAATTTTGCAGGCCGACCATAGATATCGGGTATGCTTTCGGCAGGGGATCGAACCCCGGACCATATGCATGGTCGGCGAGAGTCCTAACCACTGTGCCACCGACGCACTTTCATCTCGATACTAATTTGATGTCAAATAGGGCCAACGATCAGTTAGCAAAGCGTAAGAAGCTTCGAGTTTTGTGTCACCGTATTTTGCACCATTTAGCGTAACAGAATTGCTGAAGTGTCCAAGTATTCGAAGCAGAGTTTCAAATATCACCGAAGATTCGTAGAAAACCATTTCTTTGTAGTTCGGCAAAAATGCTTACGTTTTTATCAAATACCATAATATGACTGCTAGACCAAGTATATTGGTCAGTATAGTCAATCAGAGTTAGTTAGAACATCACAACAATACAGCTGAGCTGCTGAGCTGAGTCAACCTGGGTACACCGGTGATGAGCTTGGCCCTAAATGAGCGAAATAACTACTGTCCAGTGTTTGGGTCACTTCGATCGGATTAACAAATACTAGTGTTTCCCCCCCCCCCCCCCAAGTTATTCGCATAAATTAGCTGCATATACCATTGCAAATGGTTTAAAGCAGAAATACGTTGATCGATTGCATTAAAATAATTACATTCTGAAGCAGTCATTAAGCTCTAATGTATGTGCTGATTAATAATCCGTCAGTACAGTAGGAAAGTGAAGAAGGTCTTAAGATTTGATAGTTTTAACTGGAGAAAGATGTTAATTAAAGGTGTCTTTGCTCATCGAGTCAATGTGTAATGTGCATGAAACCAGAATAAATCAAATCTACACTTATTCCAGATATTCGGAAAAGTTAGTTCAGTATAGAAGTATAATATTATTCGGTTGCTGATGCCTAGCAGTGGGATCCACAACGTAAGTCTTGTTGTCTGGATATGCTTCTATTGCCAGTGAGTGATAGCGTTCTGATTGAGATTCGAACCCATCACTCATTGTCTCAAACGCCCAAACATCATCCACAAGGCCACAGGAGTCGAATCTTGTGCATCGGACATCAGGATCGGAGTGCTTGGTCTCTGTGGACGTATGATCTCCTAGTGAGGATGATATCACTTGTTACAGCTGTTACTGGTTTCATAAGAGGTGGCTGTCATGCTAGGCTCAGAGGCCTAGCAGATAATGCTTAAGTGTTTGAAATGATGGCTGCTGGGTTTCAGTCTCCAGAAGAACAGCTCCAGTCACTGGTGCACTCCTCCAGATGCATTCAGCTGTCTAGTCTGAAACTACTAGCCACTATCTACCAATAAACATCACTGTTCAACTCAAGGCATTATTGAAGCTTCCGTACTGTCAACCGACATGTAGACACGGAACGAATATTTCATTCAAATACAATCAGTCAACAAAAAACAGGAAAAAGACTTACAGAAATATATACATTTACGTATAAAAGTTATCTTGTAAACACTATAAATGTATTACCTTACCGATGAAGGTCATTGATAATGAAACAAGCGAATCATAGTGAAGGGAAGAAATTGAATATTTGTTAATTAACTGGTCAGTAAGTATCGTATCAATCACAGATGGCATGAATGAAGATTTCAAAGCCGACCAGGATCGGGAAATAAGACAGAACTTCATTACTGCAATATCAATGAGGAATTCTACTGAACTTAATATCAGTAACAAGATTTGGATTTTCAAACACTAATGTCAATTCAGTCAGCGCTTCTGTATGCAAGAACTACAGTTTCAGCAGAGCGAGGATAATATGCTCTATAGAGAAATTAGAGGAAGAATTTGATTTTCCTAAAAAGATATTGAAGAGCAATGGGTACCCTCAAAGGTTCATCAACAAGTATGGAAGATCTGAAGTCTCAAATGTCAAACAAATCACAGTAGGAAAACAGCCAATCTACATTCAAATTGATTATAAAGATGGAAACATTGCAGCGATGATCAACAGAAGGCTGAGCACATCACTAGCCATGGCCTATCCGGCAGCTAAGCACGTTCCCGTCTATCGAACAACTTACCCTTTGATGCAATCAAAAATCGATACATATCCTTCTCATGTTAACAACTCCAACTGTATTTACAAATTTACATGTATCTGAGTTGGCATTCAGTTACATTGGCAGAACAGAAAGAAGGGCATATCTACGATTTTCTGAACATGTACCAAAAAGCTTATGTCTAAAGGGAACAAATGCTTTAAACAGTACCATCGCCAGGCATCTCATTGACACGGGTTATGAGGTGAACGTCGAAAATTCGTTCAAACTTATCAATAGGCAAAAGAGCTCAATTCTCCTCAGTTTTGCTGAAACCATTCCCATCAAGCACCTGAAACCTGATTTATGCGTTCAGAAAGAAGTGGTTATCAGTCTTTCTTTGCCCTGCCTGGTAACTGGATATTTTCATCTCTCTTTCATCTGAATGCTAAATGCTGAAAAGTTTCCATTGTGTATGATTATTATTGTTCGGAGTAGTGTTTAATATTATATATATATATATATTATTACTATGCATATATTGATTGATTTTTGTTTGAAATGAACTCTGTGTGCAAGTATGTTAAAATTGCTGTTGTAGATATATTTAATAATGTCTTTGGCCTGTAAGCAGCTGACGAGAAAGCAACAAAACAGACGATGTGATGGTACCACTTTATTCTGCAAAAACCACTTTAGTTCTTGCTTTGTTCAAATTCATTAAGGGGAATAAATGTATGAAGTTTCTGTATGCCTCAGAGAGAGTGAGTCACGAAAATCACGTCCAACAGGCTACTGTGGACTTTCATCAACAGATGCCCCTTTCTCCTCATACTGAAGATCACATGGCCAACCGGAAACGATTAGCATCGAGAAATTCTGCTAGCCAATCCAGAATTTATTATCTGACAAAAATATACCGAAGAAAATATAGATGAATTGGGAGCATGCTAAGGAGACCGCGTTCCGCGTCCCTATATTCCACTTGGAACCAAATGGAACAATAATAATAATAGTAACACGAATTACTCTCCACTTCTACCACTGTTGTAGTTAAGATAATAAGTGAATAAATGAATAAAACAGAAATTAAAAATGTAAAACAATGGTGATTTAGCCTACCTAGTAAACTTGAATTTCAAGTCAAGTAACAAGAGACTATAGGAACAAACTAACCGAGAACCTATCGCTCAACAAATATGCAGAACTTAAATGGAGATGAATTCGGCATACACTGAGGTTGCCATCGAATGACATCCCATGCCAGACCCCTGAATGGGAAACTTTGAGTGGATCGTCGGCGCGAAAGTAACATGGAGGAGATCGAATGGTGAGGAGGATATAAGAGATTAGGGGCAGTTGTAGGCCCACCTCAAGAGGAGAGCAGAAAATATAAGAAAGACAAAGATGTGTTGTTGAAGCCCTATGTTCCACTCGGAACCCAAGTATTTATTTTATTTATTTTGGTTACAGCTTGATGCCACACCGTATTTTCAGTACAAGTATGGCATTTTCAGCATGGATATCGGTAGCGCAAATTTTGCAGGCTGACCATAGATATCGGGTGTGCGCCGGCAGGGGCTCGAACCTCGGACCATGTGCATGGTCAGCGAGAGTCCTAACCACTGTGCCACCGACGCACAAGTAATCCTGTATCAAAGGAGTGTGAATGTTTGATGAAGCTAATTCTCCCTCTCTCTTTATATGACAAAGATATAAGACTTAGAAAACCACGATGACACAACTGTTTTAATTAAATGTATATTTAGTTGACAAACCTTCACACAACCATTGATATATCTCTTTTCTTTTAAAACCTTTTCTAGAGGAAGAATTAAACATCTTGATGTTGTCACTCTTCTACGCAAGATATCACCTCCATTAGGATTCGGTAAATTATGCCCTCATCGAACTGCTTGTGTGGTAAGTTCACTGGCTTGAATTCAATATAATATTTGAAATATATATTTAAGAGTAATAATAGTGACATATATGAGAAAAGCATTCATTTCTTTCTTATTAATGACCTCTTTGATACATATAGAGAAACTAACAAAAGTTCTCCTATGATGGACAGCATTTTGATTCAAAATACCGAAAACATCCAATCAACCATTAGGAATATAAAAGATAATTCAGCGAAAAAAATTTGTTTTATCGACAAAATCATCTTCACAAGCTGTACAATCTTATTTATATTCACCAGAAACGTATACGAGTCCATTATTGAGTAACACGGGGAAGTGCGTGACATAACTGATACAATGACTCAGAAGTAGCTTCAGAAATAAAATTAAAAAGTTACGTAACAATCAACAGCATAAAGAAAGAAAGTGTTGGAAATCTGATAAGGTTAAAATTGTTACTGAATGAGAAGAAAGGCAGTTGAGCGTCCATTTGAAAAAAAGGAACAAAAGTAACATGTAAGAGAGTGATAATAGTGAATTAATTATTCAAAATTAAAGCTAAGCAATTAATAAACTCATGCCTTGGGCCACTTCAACGTGTGTTTATTAATTTTACTTCTTCATGTGAAGCTACTTTTATTGACCGCACAAGGGGCACATTTTCCAAACGCATCTCTGAACATTATCCAGCATTGTGAGCTAGAGGACAATTCAGCTTGACAATTACAAGCTGAATTCTCGAACACTTGGTGAGCTCAGACCATGCAGCTCCACCACAGTTGTCTTTTACGATTGTCTACAGAGTGCTTAAAGAGGGCGTTAGTTTTCGGTATTTGTATATGGCGAGGCGCTGACGATTTATCAGTACAACCTCGAACTTTGTATGCAGAAAATGTTTGCCCAGTAACGTATTCTACTATGGTCTTAACCTCTTCATTATTCGTCCCTTGTGATTCTATAGTTTTAATAAGTTGTGGTTCGCTTTAATCTTGAATAATTAATTCACTATTATCACTCTCTTACATGTTACTTTTGTTCCTTTTTTTCAAATGGACACTCAACTACCTCTCTTCTCATTCAGTAACAATTTTAACCTTATCAGATTTCCAACACTTTCTTTCTTTCTTTCTTTGTGCTGTTGAGTGTTACGTAACTTTTTAATTTTATTTCTGAAGCTACTTCTGAGTCGTTGTATCAGTTATGTCACGCACTTCCTCGTGTTACTCAATAATGGACTCCTATACGTTTCTGGTGAATATAAATAAGATTGTAGAGCTTGTGAAGATGATTTTGTCGATAAAACAAATATTCTTCACTGAACTATCTTTTATTTTCTTCGGGATAATTGAGTTCAAAGATCATTTATCGTATAGTGAAGTCACGATGGTGTACGCCAAAATCGATCACCCCACGGTATTTCTGAAAAAAGTTATTCTGACCATCAAAGATTGGTTTTACAATGCCTTTGATGTGAGTAGTGTAATTCTGCGCCTGTGAAACGTAGTCTCTATGACAGATCTTCAGATTGTATAGTATAACATCACCATGTTACTACTTCTACGATTTAAAGGAGTTCACTTTAACATGTTGGGGAGGTGGTCTTTCATCTTGAGGGAATAGATTCCATCGCTTGGATATGTGTGTGTTATCAATTTCATTCTAATGGCTTGCTAACTGCTCACAGTGAGTACTAACTCCGGGGACTCAGTAGGAACTATGGTGGGGTGGTTAATATATATGAAATAACGCCAGTGATGAGTGATTTTCTTTTTTCTTTTGAGCTTTACGAATATTAACATAACTTTTTTGTGAATGACGCATAAATGTATATACACATATATCGTGTGTGTCTCTGTTGATTTGAGTAAATACATACATATATCCGTGCAGGTTGGTTGTATCCTCTTTGTATGCCTCTTTTTATGTCTATCCTTCAGTAGCCGTCCAATGTTCACCTAGCAACTCAAAGATATCTTACCTAAGCTTAACTCTTCTTCATGCGTATACCATTTCAACTGTTCCTGTGGTCAAAGTTATATAGGGCGCACGATTAGGCAGGTTCGTTTACGGGTTCCAGAACATTTACCAGCTTAGTTCAGCAGGGGGGAAATTAAGTGCATAAAAAAGCTCAATCCTGTCACACTTGGTCGATACTGGACATCGCATTGATGTCAACATAGCTTTCAGGGTTATATACCGAATTCCGAAGTCGTTATCACGTACAGTTCGCTTACGTCTCCTACACATAGCTGAAGCTGTTGTATTAAGATCGACTAAACCGGAACTTTGTATCCTAAAAGAACACGTGCAGACGCTGTTCCTACCATGGCCAAACTTGGATTGATGATTCTTCTTCTCACCAAGAGTGCTCCTTCCCCTTAACTCTTTTATAACCTTGAACTGACTTGTCAATTTTCCTACCCCACACTCTGCAAATCTATTATGATTAATCACCATTGTCTCCCGCTTTACAATATTTTGTAATCGATTTCAGCCTAGCATGACGTTTGTCACACAAACACGACTATTTATTTTGACACCCCATAACTAATCTGTTATTCTATGTAAAAAAGGAATGTATCCGCCGTATAACTGGCTACGGTTATTGTAACGACAACAAATATTATATTTTATAATTGTAAGAACCTGAAGAGAAGGATGCATTGAAAAGACTATTCTTCGTTCAGATTGACTTTTAAATAAATTTCTGCAATAATATATTATTCATGAGGTTATTAGCTTTATCGTGTTTATCAACAGAATACAGGAGCAACGTTTCAGCCTACTTGGGACTCGTTAGTACCCCCGAAAAATAAACGTGAGCCCTGCATGCAACTTCCCAAACACGAAAACGTTAGTATATGCTTAGCTATTCAGCGACTGGTATGCTATACATGCAGCACTGGGTGACTCAGGTTTGAATCCCAGCAGATGCATTAGTTCCTTTAAGATTGTAGATACACCTCACTAATTGGGAAGTGCCAAAAGGTACAAGACCTATGTCTAATTCTTCAGGTCGATCACCCCCGATTATCTGAAAACAGCTGAGAGTGCATCTCAGTAACAAGACATCTAGCATATTGGTCACATTGCAAACTTAACTGGTAGAATTCAGTCTGCACCCAACGAAAGACTAAATGTCCGATGAACTAACTAGTGTCCGATTAAAATATCGAAAAGTCCCTGTTAAACTTACAGTTTTGTAAATTATCTATCCATCGTCCAAAAATAAAATCATGTCAACCTCAAAGTATCCTACATGCATTAACTGGGACGGGTAAAATCAATCACCGGGACGTTCAAAATACAATGGTAACTTAAATAATTTATAATATATCATTCTTTTAGATTGACTTCAACCTTGATCACGAGAGAACCATTGAAAATTTGAAGAGTACTGGACAATTGTTTCGTCCCAGTGTGAGACTCTTCATTGAAGTGTATCCATAATTCCACCTATCAGGGATCGAACCCAAGATCTCCCGATTTTAAAGATGAGCTTATATACCGATGAGTTACTGGGATGGAATTCAATAGCCCATTAATTCTAACTTCTGTCAGTTCACCATATGTATAGCGTAGCGTAACTACCAGCCACATAAGCTAGGATACCCAATAAGGCCAATAGTAGATTTTAGAAATACCCCAACTTATGAATTATCAAGACACTTAGCTTTAATACTATGCCCTATCAGAAATAATTCAAACTCTAGATTAACTAATTCATATGAGATGAAAAGTAAACTAAATGACATTCAACTAGCGAATGACGAAACAATGGTTAGTTTTGATATAACTATTCTTTACACTAATATACCAGTCAATATGGCCTTAGAAGCAGTTAAAAAAGAACTAACTTCTGATTCCGAACTTAGTCATAGGACAAAGCTGCCCATTGGAGAAATTATTTTAGGGATTCAGCTATGCCTCACATCTACTATCTTCAAGTTTCAAGGCAAAATATATAGACAAACAGAAGGTGTAGCAATGGGATCACCAATATCCCCTATTATAGCAGACATTTTTATGGACAGCTGGGAAAATAGTGCTCTCAATACATTAAATCCTAGGCCAAAAATATGGTGGAGATATGTAGATGACATATTCACAGTGTTAAAAACAGAACATATCTCTAGCTTCTTAACACATATAAACTCACAAGTAGAAGGAATAAAATTCACATTTGAATCAGAAAATGAACAAGGAGAATTAACCATGTTAGATTGTAAGATAAAACGAATAGAAGAAGGCAAACTACACACTAGTGTTTATAGAAAACCAACGCATTCTAATAGATATTTAGACTTTAATTCGTCTCATCCGTTAACTATTAAGGCAGGTTTAGTGAAATGTCTGACAAACCGAGCCATAGCACTGAGTAGCACAAAAAAGGCCTAAATGACGACATAAAACAGATAGAAGAAGCGTTGGTGTTGAATAACTATCCTATAAAATTCATTAGGAAGATCAGTAAAGGCCGAAAACAAAATAAAAATAATTGTGAAACTAATAATGATAACACAAATAAGAGAGAATATAAGTCATCTACTGTTATACCATATAAGGAGGGGGCATCTGAGCCCCTCCTCACGTAGGATTCTTAATAAAGCAGGATTTAGGGTGGTGACATTCAAAGCTACAAACTCACTCACATAGGACAAGCTCTGTAGGCTAAAAGACCCGGTGGACCCAATTTAACAAAATAATATAATTTACAAAATACCGTGCAATGACTGTGAGGTCAACTAGATAGATCAAACTAGTTGGTCGGAGCTAATCAGATTGTTGGAACATAAGAATTTAGCCAAGGTAAGAATGCTTGATCCCGAGAAGATAAGTAATTTCGAAAAAAGCTCATCAATTGCACTGCATGCACTAAAACAATACCACACAATGGGGTGGTGGGAGAGGGTTAAAATTCTAAGAAGTAATACAGGTAGGTGGAGAGAGAGATTGATTACTGAATCCTCGTTCACTGAGTCTTCACCCAACACATGCGACAGAAATAACTCAATG